GAGGGGCGGCCGGCGAGGACTGAACAAGAGGGCCACCAGAGTCAGAAGACTCCTCAACCGGGTCCACCGACGGAAGGGGGGTGACGTGGGACACACCAAAGGGGACTGGACGGGGAGGAGGAGGAGGAGGGGCAGGGACTACCGGGGAAGGAGGGACCAGGAACAGGGGGGGGGTAACCGGGGGACCACGGTGGGGGAAGCGACGGTAGTAGGAGACGGACTCCTCAAAGGTGACGTCACGAGAGTGAAAGAAGCGGTGAGACGGCGGGTGGTAAAAGTGCCAGTCGGACGCGTCAAAGGGAAAACCGAGGAAGACGCAGGGAAGGGTGCGGGCAGTGAGCTTGTCCGTGCCGGAGGCACGGACGTGAGCAAGGCAGCCCCAGACGTGGAACGCAGACGCGTCACCAGGAGACCCAGTCCAAAGACGAGTCGGCGAAACCTGCGGCTGCTGAGGGTGCGGCCACAAGTTAAGCTGGTGAGAAGCGTAGCGCACAGCGAACGGCCACAGAAAATGGGGTGCACCGGCATGGATCATGGAGGTGCGAGCCACCTCCATGACCAAACCGATGCGTCGCTCAGCGACCCCATTCTGCTGTGGGGAGTCCGGTAGGGTGAACGTCTGGGTGATGCCCTCCGCACGACAAAAGCGACCAAGGACACCTGAGGCAAACTCGCCACCACGGTCGGAGTGAAGACGCAAGACAGGGAGACCGCGGTGGACACGCGCAGAGACAAGCCAGGGGATGAGAGCGCCAGGCACGTCGGCCTTGCGCTCCAGGGGAAAGACTGTGGTGTAACGAGTGAAGTCGTCGACAAGCACAAGGAAGTACCGCTCTCGACGCGGCCCAGGGACGGGGGCGGGGCCCCAGACGTCCAGGTGCAGGGTCTGCAGCGGCGCGGCGGTAGGGGGAAACGAGGAGGAGTGCGGGGCACGGCGAAGCCGACCCTCAACACAAGGCGTGCAAGGTGGGGCTGGGGAGGAGGGAAACGCGGGGAGGGAACCTGGGAGACCAAGGACAAGACCATGCTGGGACATGTGACGCAGACGCTGGAGCGCATGGTGACCAAGGCGGTGGTGCCACAGGAGAGTCGGGTGAGTGAGGGAGCGACAGGAGCAGGCAGCAGCAACCTGGGTAGACGCAGCCACCTGAGGAGGCGCCCCAGCCGGGGGGGTCACGGTGTCCAGAGTGAACAGGCCGGACACCGGGTCTCGGGGGAACGTAGACAGGGGGGCACCAGTGGCGGCCTCGGTACTGACAGCATACCGCTCGTGACCAGGGAACGTAGTGGTGACGTTAAGGTCCTGGAGACAGCCGACACCAACTAGGTTCCTGGAGAACGAAGGGATATGCAGACCTGTGAGAGTGCCCGAAGGAACCGCCGGACAGGGAACGGTGGTGGAACTGCGGGCGACTACCGGGCCGCCGGAGGGGTCAGCAAGAGAGACGGCAGCTGGGACAGGAAGCGTCGTCAGGGTGGTACAGTCGCGGAAGAAACACCGAGAAGCGCCAGAGTCCAAGGTGAAGGAAAGCGAAGCAGAGGCGTCTGGCAACGGAACGACGGCGGAAGCACCAAGACTACACAAAGCAGGGGATCCTACGCCTGACGCAGCAGGGGAGGCTAAGCTAGGCACACCTACACTAGGCAACAGTGAGTAATAAGCGGGAAGCACACTAGAGTCATCAGCATACATCACATGCAGAGCAGCAACAATGGCATCCATGTCCATATCAAAAATCTGAATCTTACGACTAAGCAAACTGTGCCAGTCCGGGAGGTCTGGCGACGGGCCGAAGCGCTGACGAAAGAGGTCGTCCAGGCGACGAAAACAGCGGGGAGTGGAGTGACCGAGCCTACCGCAAACGAAACCGCGGCGAGGACCGGTCTGGATCTGGTACTGACAACGCCCGCCACCAGAGCCACCACTCGGCACACCACCACGCGCCCGGCCACCGCCAGCGCCAGGCCACCCGGGCGGGAGGACACTCGTCTGCCGCGTCTGCGACGGCTGCTGCGGCTGCTGCGAAGGCTGCGTCTGCGGCGGCTGCTGCGGCTGCTGCAACTGCAGGGGCGGCGGCTCAGCTGGACTGGGCAGGGTCCCCTCGTCCGCTCCAGCACCAGACGACCCGACCCCACCACTACCCCCTCCCGCACCCCCGCCGCCGCCGCCGCCGCGCCCAACCTTGGGGCGGCGGCCCTTCCCCGAACGAAACTGCGCTGCAGCAGCAGTCTCAGCCACTGCGGCAGAGCCGTCGGAGAAGGTACACTGGGCGGGGGCACAACCCTGAAAGATAGGGACCGGCACGACACCGCTCGTCTGGGCGATGGAGCGGTGACGGGTCTCTATCACCGTCAGGGTGTCTACAAAGTCAGTGAGGGTGAGGTCTGCGGGGTGAATGCTAAGGAAGCGGTCGCGGGCGACAGCAAGGCGGTCAGGGAGGCGGGTGGCAAGCAGGTAGAGGGTAGAGGTAATGGGCGGCTGGTGGGCTCTAAGCTGTGCATCAGTGCAGGCTGCACGCCAGGTCTCATCTATCGAGCGCAGGTGGGCAGCGAGGTCAGAGACAGTGGGGAAAGAAGCAAGGTCAGGAAAGAGCATCGGGAGGATCAGGCGACCCACCGAGGCAGCCGGAGGGGTGGAATAGCGCTTGATGACGGCATCTAAGTAGGCCTGAGCAGTAGTGAGGGACCTAAAGCGAGGACGCTCGGACGGGGGGAGGGCGTTGCTAATGGCAAGCTGGGCGACAGCATCGCGAGAAAGCCAGAGAGAGCGCGCACGGGCAGTGGCAGCAGTAGACTCACGATCAGTGGGTGTGGGGTCAGCGGGCAGAATAGCAGGGGGGTCTGGGCAGGGGAGCGTACCGTCAAGGTGTGCGGAAAGCGGTTCACCATCCTGCCGCTGGCCAGTGAGTTGGCGGCGGAGGTCGGCAAGCTAGGGGCTGACCTTCAACGTCGAAGCGAAGCTCCGCCGCCATCAGGAACAGTCCAGTGCGGTGCAGGGCAGTGCAGTGCAGTGCAGTGCGGTACAGTGCGGTGCAGTGCGGTGCAGTGCGGTGTAAGGCAGGACAGTGTGGTGCGGGGCAGTACGGTGCAGGGCAGTGCAGGGCGGGGTGGGGGGGGGAACCGTACCAGTGAGGAGGACGGGGCCGGGGCAGCGGGGCCGGGCAGGTGCGACCGGGCCGGGCGAGGACGACGGGGCCGGGCGAGCGCGACGGGGCCGGGCTGGTGCGACAGGGCCAGGCCGGGGCGACGGGGCCGGGCGAGCGCGACGGGGCCGGGCAGGGGCGACGAGGCCGGGCGGGGGCGACAGGGCCGGGCCGGTGCGACGTGGCCGGGCTGGTGCGACGGGGCCGGGCGGCTGCGACGGGGCCGGGCAGGGTGCGACCGGGCCGGGCAAGCGCGACGGGGCCGGGCGAGCAGGCCGGGGCCGGGCTGGTGCGACGGGGCCGGGCTGGTGCGACGGGGCCGGGCGAGCACGACGGGGGGCCCAGGAGGGGCGCTGCAGGGGCCCAGGAGGGGCGCGACGGGGCCCAGGAGGGGCGCGACGGGGCCCAGGAGGGGCGCGACGGGTGCAAGGAGGGGCGCTACAGGACCCAGAAGGGCGCGACGGGGCCCAGGAGGGGCACTACGGGGCCAAGGAGGGGCATTACGGGGCCTGGGAGGGGCGCGACGGGGCCCAGGACGGGTGCTACGGGGCCCAGGAGGGGCGCGACGGGGCCTGGGAGGGGCGCGACGGGGCCCAGGAGGGGCGCTACGGGGCCTAGGAGGGGTGCGGCGGGGCCCAGGAGGGGCGCTACGGGGCCTGGGAGGGGTGCGACGGGGCCCAGGAGGGGCACTACGTGGCCCAGGAGGGGCGTTACGGGGCCTGGGAGGGGCGCGACGGGGCCCAGGAGGGGCGCTACGGGGCCCAGGGGGGGCGCGACGAGGCCCAGGAGGGGCGTTACGGGGCATAGGAGGTGCGCAACGGGGCCCAGGAGGGGCGCTACGGGGCCCAGGAGGGGCACGACGGGGCCTGGGAAGGGGCGCGACGGGGCCCAGGGAGGGGCGCGACGGGTCCCAGGAAGGGGCGCGACGGGGCTAGGGTGGGGTCGCGATGGGGCTAGGGGGGGGCGAGCGGAAGCGGTAGGTGGGGGGGATCCTACCTACGCGTGATACCATATCAGAAATTGAACAAGTGGGTTAGTTAGAGTGAGAGTACACACAGATATACCTAAGTGTTGTACTCTCTAAGAGGCGACCCTATACAGTCTATACAAACATGACAAATACACATGTTTGACACTACCTACTCGTAATACAATGTTAAGACTAGAAAGAATTATTAGATGAAGGGTGGACACGGGAGATATAGCGTTTGGGTTGTACCCACTAAGAACATACCCTATCTAGCCTATAACTTTTACATAACAATATATTGTACTCGCTACAGTAGAATCCACTAACACCTACCAAGCTTACAATTATATATATATATATATATATATAATGTACGTGTCTATTCAAAATGTGGATGGAACTCGGCATCGGTACAACATTGATTTTTTCCTAATAGGTAATTAGTGATTTTTTCACGAGATTTCGTTGGACCACCTGTGCTTCTATTGCTAACACATATTGTATTAGAAGGCCCCATGACCAATTGGGCAGTGGGCTTGTGTTGCTGACATACCCACTTTCATAAGTGCCATCAGGGTAACTGCAGAAAGATCACTTGCGTTTATTATTTCCTTGTTCGCCCTGATGCAAACAAACCTCATTCATTAGGCTTCAAAGTGCATACCAACAGCTTCATTCATTAAGGGAAAGTACTAGTAGGTCAAGCGAAATTGGATTGTACGGTGTACACTGTACATCTCTCTTCTGGAACATCCGTCAGTCTTCCCCACTCCCCCACAGCTGCTGCTGCACTGGCGATGGTTGTCGCACAGCGCCATCACACTCCCCCTCACGGCGTCACCTGCCAGCATAGGGGCCTGCATGGACCTTTTGTCTCTCCACTCGCCCATGCCATGGCTGGTGCCTCGCTAGGATGCCAAGCTGGGATGGGATGCGTTGCCTCCGCTTAGACGCTCCTTTCCATGTCACGCCGGTTGCCGTGATCTCCGTGCTGCTGACATGGCTTGCTCGTTCGCACCTACTGCATTGGAGAAAAGGTTCCGTTGACTCGACACAGTCGACACAGTCGCCTCGGCACGAAAGATCTACTAGCGCAGCTTTACATTCAGGCAGGCTGGGCAACGCGGGTGGTACAGATCCAGGCGTGGCGAACGAACAGTTGGGTCACGTGTTGCTGGCGCGGATGGCGATGCTGGATCCACCCGTCCACTTGCGCGCACATCGCGTTACGTCGCCCATTTGCGCCAGGCCTGCTGCAGTTGCAACGGAGTCTCGCCACAGCCCAGCCAGCTCGAGTGGGGTCAGCCTGGCACTCCCCTCCCTACTGTTCCGTCGGCTGTCCAGCCACGTGTACAGCTGGGTCCCGCCATGCCAGATGTCACGTCGCCCGGGAATCAGCATTCCAGGCAGGTCGGTTCGGCGCTGTTGACTCGGCAGCACTGACAGCTGAAGCCCGCGCAGAGCGATCGCTGCTCCGGCGTCGCTCTGGCGCCGCTCTGGCGCCTGTGTGCACCTGCGTCGGCGGCAGTTGTACGACAGTTGTCGTGATCGCTCCAGCTGCGACGGCTCGTGCTTGCACAGCACACGCGAAGTGAAGGAATCCGTTCCACGTTCACGCACCCACCCAGTCACCGGCGAGCGTCCTTGGAGGAAGCGCGCTCGTGACGTCGAGACTAGTTCTCGGAGCCCCGTAACAGGCTTCCTGCGAGCACTGGAACCGGCGTTCTTGCCGCTCCTATAAGTGGCAGTGAGGAGCGTCCGGTGCAGTGGCAAGATTCATGGACATTCAGTCGCTCGCGTGACTTACCAAGGATCTATCAAGCTTACTCCAGTAGAAATCGGGCTCTGGTAGCTCGAAATCAAGCTTACTCCAGCAGTTCTACTTCGAGATTTTCATGGCGCGCGTTATCATGCAACCAACGCGGCTCCACCCCGGAAGCCCGCGTGGTTACGGCTGTGTTGGGGGTGGCGGCATGTTGGCAAGGGAGGGTCACAGCAGCGATCTGCTGCCGGAGCAGTGGGCGGGCCAGCTCGTGGCGTCGCAATGGAGCCTTCGAGCTGGTACCCGTGACAAGTCAGTTGGACATGGCTCTACGGGATACGCCGCTGCTGCTACGACCCCTGCTGTTGCGCCTCGAGTGTCGCGTAGCTTGCCGCAGGACGCGCGAGGGGCGATCCCTGCTGGAAGCGAGCTATGTGCGGCCATGTCAGTGCAAGAGGGGCATAACAGCCGATCACCTGACATCACCTCGGCAGAATCCATGGAAGAGCCGTTAAGGGACACCTGTACACAGCCCGGTGACGGTGCTCTTGAAGGACCTGTGTGCCTCCCTCTCAGCCCTGTCACGTGCTGCAGACCCAAAACCTCCAGAGGCACCGTCTCAAGGCACCCTCCAGCGTCTGCTGCGCCCGCAGCTGCTCTCGCTCCCGGCCATGCCACCACACGTGCTCAAGTCACACCGGCGTGCGCCGTGGCGGGTGGCAGCACCAGCCAGCAGCAGGCTCCGCTGGACAGTCTCTCCCCACGCACCACCCCGTCTGCCCTCGCCTCCCCCCGTCGCCACCTGTCCGACCTAAACCCGAGCATGGGGCGTGGCGCACACAGTGCAAGGCGCGGCGAGCACAGCACGGAGACCACTGGAACTGCTGCCAGCACACGTGTCAAGGAGCACACGGGAACAGCAGCAGCAGCAGAAGTGTCAGTGGGGTCTCAGGCGCCGCAGGCGCCCTCTCTGCTGGCTACCACAGGATGCAAGCATGCTGCCACAGAGGCGCAGCCACCCAGCCCTGCGCAGCCAACTCCCTCTGCTCTGTGCACTCCACGCACACCCAGCGCTGCACCGCTGCCCTCCCCCACACTCTCGCCCACCGTCAACTTAAGTGCCCCATCCTCCGCTCCCTCCCTGACTCGTGCCACACTGCCTGGCGCTGCGGCTGCTGCTTGCGGTGCTGCCACCGATGGTGCGTGCGCTGGCGTTTCTTTTCCCAAATCTCCCCTCAACAGGCTTGCCAGCACGGCCTTTCTCGTCCCGTCGCCGCCCCCATTCCCCCGCACCCACCGCCCTGTGCTCATGCACCGGCGGTCGCGCTCCAGCCTGCCGACGGTGTCGCTGAACGACCGCCTGCTGGCCACGCCTGTGCGCACGTCCTCCCTGTTGGTGCCGCATGGCGGCCTGGACGAGGGTGCGCTGCATCCCCACCAGGCGCGCAGCTGCACCTCCCTGTGCAGCCCGCAGTCAAGCCCGGGCTCAAGTAGCCCTGCAACAACCCCGTCTCTCTCCAGTCCGCACCCAGCTCGCGTGGCCACTACCCAGCAGTCCGTCTTGCACAGCGGCTGTGCGCCGTTGCCTGGTAGCCACGCGGGGAGAGTGCCGGTTGTTGGTCGGGCGCGGTCGTTTGGCAGCGCATCTCCGCCATCTGAGGGCAAGCGCCAGTGGCAGAGCAGCAGGGAGGCTAGCTCGGGGCACAAGAGGTCCCTGTCGAGGGGCAATGCAGAAGAAGTTCTGCAGGGTGCAGGCACAGCCTCCAGTCACCATGCACCCTCAGCAAGTCCCGGCGCCCACCATAATGCCAGCACTTTCACTGGAGCTGGCACCGCCTCTGCTGCGGCAGTGACACCGGGGCGAGGAGCGGGAGACGGGGGCAGCAGATCCATGGTGGTGTCACGTGGCGGAAGCCTTTCTGCCTCCACGCCTGGGTCGAGTGGCAGGCTGAGGTACTGGCCGCCGCACCTCAACTACCGCCTTCATGCTGGCAGCTGTCAGGAGCGCCACGTGCCAGCACATGCAGAAGCCTCAGCAGAAGCCACCAGTGCATCTTATGGCAGCTGCTCTTGTTGCTCTTCCAGTAATAGCATTGGCGAAAGCAGTGCTAGGGTGCTGTCCTGCAGGAGCAACTGTTCTTTGGGTGCGTCGCCTGCACCGTACCACCAGGATCGTGATGAATCAGTGCCAGCCTGGCAGGCAGCATCGCACTCCTGCGATTCCACCATGGCCAGTTTCCATGGGTGTGGTGTGCTTGGTGGCTGGTCACAGGGAAGGCAGGGTAAGAACGCAGTGCCAAGGGCATCTTCCTTTGAATCAGAGGGAACCAAGGCAACTGGTCAAGGCTCGTTGCATTTGCGGAGGAATGGGAGCACTGGGAGGGGTGGGGAGAGCATGGATGGGAGAGATGGTTCACTGCAAACAGTTTTTGGAGGAGCTCTTGGCCGTGCTGTGCCAGTTGCCGCGCATTCTAACGCAGGTTGCAGTGCCGCTTGCTCTTCCTGGGCGCAGCAGCAACAGCAGCTGCAGCAGCAGCAGTGGCGTCAGCACCTTAGACAGCAGTGGCTGCAGAAGCATGAAATGCAGCCATACTTAGATTCAACAAAGGTCGTTCCCACACGTTGTGCAAGTGGTTGTAACTTGTAAATAAAACTTCCTGTGCATGTCAATTGTGAATGATTTGACAAAGTTGGAAACATCTGAGGAAAGAATACTTGCAGGAAACCCCCCTGTATTGGTCAGTGTGGGTTCTTTTCTCTGATCCTAAAAAAAAACCGGATTTTCAAGTGCACCCCCCCATTGCTATTCTAGCCTGTGGTTTAAAATTTGGTTGGCTTCGCAGAATTCCAGAATGTCAACTTATATATCTTATATTGTGTAGGCTTGTTAGGTATTCTACAAATGACTAGATCCTACTGTAGAGGGTACTATCAAACATGTATATTTGTCATGTTTGTATAGACTGTATAGGGTCGCCTCTTAGAGAGTACAACACTTAGGTATATCTGTGTGTACTCTCACTCTACCTATCATTGACTTCTCAATTCTGATATAGTATCACGCGTAGGTAGGATCCCCCCCCACCTACCGCTTCCGCTCACCCCTCTAGCCCCTAGCCCCGTCGCGACCCCCCTAGCCCCGTCGCGCCCCATCCTGGGCCCTGTAGCGCCCCTCTTGGGCCCCGTCGCACCCCTCACTGGGCCCCGTCGCGCCCCTCCCAGGCCCCGTCGCGCCCCTCCCAGGCCCCGTCGCGCCCCTCCCTGGGCCTCGTCGCGCCCCTCCTGGGCTTCGTAGCGCCCCTCCTGGGCCCCGTCGCGCCCCTCCTGGGCTCCGTAGCGCCCTCCTGGGCCCCGTCGCGCCCCTCCTGGGCTTCGTAGCGCCCCTCCTGGGCCTCGTCGCGCCCCTCCTTGGCCCCGTAGCGCCCCTCCTGGGCCCCGTCGCGCCCTTCCTGGGCCCTGTAGCGCCCCTCCTGGGCCCCGTAGCACCCCTCCTGGGCCCAGTCGCGCCCTCCCTGGTCCATGTAGCGCCCCTCCTGGGCCCCGTCGCGCCCCTCCCAGGCCCCGTCGCGCCCCTCCCGGGCTTCGTAGCGCCCCTCCTGGGCCTCGTCGCGCCCCTCCTGGGCTTCGTAGCGCCCCTCCTGGGCCCCATCACGCCTTCAGGCCACGTCGCGCTCGCCCGGCCCCGTCGCCCCAGCCCGGCCCCGTCGCACCAGCCCGGCCCCGTCGCACCAGCCCGGCCCCGTCACAGCCGCCCGGCCCCGTCGCACCCGTCCGGCCCCGTCGCGCCCGCCCAGCCCCGGTGCACCCCTCCTGGGCCACCGTCCTGCTCGCCCGGCCCCGTCGCACCGGCCCGGCACCGTCGCACCAGCCCGGCCCCGACGCACCCGCCCGGCCCCGTCGCACCAGCCCGGCCCCGTCGCGCCCGCCCGGCCCCGTCGCGCCCGCCCGGCCCCGTTGTACCGGCCCGGCCCCTGCGCTCGTCCCTGCCCCGGCCCCGGTCCTCCTCACTGGTACGGTTTCCCCCCCCCCCCGCCCTGCACTGCCCTGCACCGTACTGCCCCGCACTGCACCGCCCCGCACCACCCTGTACTGCCTGGCACCGCACTGCACCGCCCTACACCGCACTGCACCGCACTGCATCGCACTGTACCGCACGGCACCACACTCCACCTTGCTGCACTGCCCTGCACCGCACTGCACTGTTCCTGATGGCGGCGGAGCTTCGCTTCGACGCTGAAGGCCAGCCTCTGGAGTTCGAGGCGTGGCTTGCCGACCTCCGTCGCCAACTCACTGGCCAGCGGCCAAGGTTGGGCGCAGCGGCGGCGGCGGCGGGGGTGCGGGAGGGGGTAGTGGTGGGGTCGGGTCGTCTGGTGCTGGAGCGGACGAGGGGACCCTGCCCAGTCCAGCTGAGCCGCCGCCCCTGCAGTTGCAGCAGCCGCAGCAGCCGCCGCAGACGCAGCCTTCGCAGCAGCCGCAGCAGCCGTCGCAGACGCGGCAGACGAGTGTCCTCCCGCCCGGGTGGCCTGGCGCTGGCGGTGGCCGGGCGCGTGGTGGTGTGCCGAGTGGTGGCTCTGGCGGCGGGCGTTGTCAGTACCAGATCCAGACCGGTCCTCGCCGCGGTTTCGTTTGCGGTAGGCTCGGTCACTCCACTCCCCGCTGTTTTCGTCGCCTGGACGACCTCTTTCGTCAGCGCTTCGGCCCGTCGCCAGACCTCCCGGACTGGCACAGTTTGCTTAGTCGTAAGATTCAGATTTTTGACATGGACATGGATGCCATTGTTGCTGCTCTGCATGTGATGTATGCTGATGACTCTAGTGTGCTTCCTGCTTATTACTCACTGTTGCCTAGTGTAGGTGTGCCTAGCTTAGCCTCCCGTGCTGCGTCAGGCGTAGGATCCCCTGCTTTGTGTAGTCTTGGTGCTTCCGCCGTCGTTCCGTTGCCAGATGCCTCTGCTTCGCTTTCCTTCACCTTGGACTCTGGCGCTTCTCGGTGTTTCTTCCGCGACTCCACCACCCTGACGCCGCTTCCTGTCCCAGCTGCCGTCTCTCTTCCTGACCCCTCCGGCGGTCCGGTAGTCGCCCGCAGTTCCACCACCCTTCCCTGCCCGGCGGTTCCTTCGGGCACTCTCACAGGTCTGCATATCCCCTCGTTCTCCGGGAACCTAGTTGGTGTCGGCTGCCTGCAGGACCTTGGCGTCACCACTACGTTCCCTGGTCACGAGCGGTATGCTGTCTGTACCGAGGCCGCCACTGGTGCCCCCCTGTCTACGTTCCCCCGAGACCCGGTGTCTGGCCTGTTCACTCTGGACACCGTGACCCCCCCGGCTGGGGCGCCTCCTCAGGTGGCTGCGTCTACCCAGGTTGCTGCTGCCTGCTCCTGTCGGTCCCTCACTCACCCGACTCTCCTTTGGCACCACCGCCTAGGTCACCCTGCGCTCCCGCGTCTGCGTCACATGTCCCAGCACGCTCTTGTCCTTGGTCTCCCAGGTTCCCTCCCCGCGTTTCCCTCCTCCCCAGCCCCACCTTGCACGCCTTGTGTTGAGGGTCGGCTTCGCCGTGCCCCGCACTCCTCCTCGTTTCCCCCTACCGCCGCGCCGCTGCAGACCCTGCACCTGGACGTCTGGGGCCCCGCCCCCGTCCCTGGGCCGCGTCGAGAGCGGTACTTCCTTGTGCTTGTCGACGACTTCACTCGTTACACCACAGTCTTTCCCTTGGAGCGCAAGGCCGACGTGCCTGGCGCTCTCATCCCCTGGCTTGTCTCTGCGCGTGTCCACCGCGGTCTCCCTGTCTTGCGTCTTCACTCCGACCGTGGTGGCGAGTTTGCCTCAGGTGTCCTTGGTCGCTTTTGTCGTGCGGAGGGCATCACCCAGACGTTCACCCTACCGGACTCCCCACAGCAGAATGGGGTCGCTGAGCGACGCATCGGTTTGGTCATGGAGGTGGCTCGCACCTCCATGATCCATGCCGGTGCACCCCATTTTCTGTGGCCGTTCGCTGTGTGCTACGCTTCTCACCAGCTTAACTTGTGGCCGCACCCTCAGCAGCCACAGGTTTCGCCGACTCGTCTTTGGACTGGGTCTCCTGGTGACGCGTCTGCGTTCCACGTCTGGGGCTGCCTTGCTCACGTCCGTGCCTCCGGCACGGACAAGCTCACTGCCCGCACCCTTCCCTGCGTCTTCCTCGGTTTTCCCCTTTACGCGTCCGACTGGCACTTTTACCACCCGCCGTCTCACCGCTTCCTTCACTCTCGTGACGTCACCTTTGACGAGTCCGTCTCCTACTACCGTCGCTTCCCCCACCGTGGTCCCCCGGTTACCCCCCCCCTGTTCCTGGTCACTCCTTCCCCGGTAGTCCCTGCCCCTCCTCCTCCTCCCCGTCCCGCCCCCTCTGGTGTGTCCCACGTCACCCCCCTTCCGTCGGTGGACCCGGTTGAGGAGTCTTCTGACTCTGGTGGCCCTCCTGTTCAGTCCTCGCCGGCCGCCCCTCCCCTGGCGTCCCCTCCCTAGTCCCCCCCTCCACCGCCTGTGCCGCCGCTGCAGCCGTCGTTGTCGCTGCCACTGCCGCCACCGCCGCCGCCGCCGCTGCCGTCGCAGCACCCGTTCGCTGACTCTGGGGGTGCTCGTCCCGGTAGCCCTGGGGGTGGTCCCTTTGGGGGTGCTGGTGTGGGGAGTGCCGGTGGTAGCCGAGGAGCAGCTTGCGGTCCCGGTGTCGCCGTTGTGCCGCCGCAGCAGCAGTCCCCGCCGGTGTCAGCCCTTCGCCTGCTCGGCCTTCCGTCCCCCGACCCTGCGTCGGTTCCTCCCCGGCCGTCTCCTCCTCTTCCTGTCTACGGCCCTGTCTTCCCTCCGCCGGACTCGTCCCCGGCCCGTCTCCCCCCTCGTTCCCCTCCTGTGTCCCCTCCTCTGTCTCCTGACCCGACTCCTCCGTCGCACGTCTGGTCTCACCGTCCCTCCCGTGCTCGTCCTGCCTCGCCTGTCTTGCGCTCCCACCCTATGTTGCTTCGTTCCCACGCGTCTCGTCCTCCCCTTCTGCCGTCGCCTCCTCCGTCCTCCCTTGTTGTTGCACCCCCCCCGCTGTCTGACTACCTTCGTGCCACTCGTCCCCTTGTTCCTCGGGTCCTTGTCTCTCTCGTTACCGACCCGTCTGTTCCGTCCTCGTGCCTTGATGCTCTTGTCGCTGCTGTCGCTGACTTCGCCTCTACCCGCCGCCTTGACTACGCCACCGCTCTGGTCTCTGACCCTGCCTTTCCTCCGTCTGTCGGGGGTGCTCCTGCCCTTGGCAGTGACGTCCTGGAGGACCGCCAGTTCGAGCTTGCTTTCCTGTCCGAGGCTGCTCCCCATCTCTGTTCCATGCTGCTAGTCCCTGAGGGTGACCCAGACGCTTTCGACATCCCGACCCCTCGCACTTATGCTGAGGCGACTTCGGGACCCTGGGCCTCGCAGTGGATAGCTGCCATGGAGCAGGAGATGGCATCTTGGAGATCCACCGGCACCTTCGTCGACGCAGTTCCCCCACCTAGGGTGAACGTAGTCGATGGCCGCTGGCTCTTCAAGGTGAAGCGCCCTCCTGGAGAGCCGCCTGTCTTCAAGGCGCGCTATGTGGCTAGAGGCTTCAGTCAGCGCGAGGGGGTGGACTTCTTCCAGACCTTCGCTCCGACCCCGAAGATGACTACTCTTCG